CGCCCAGGCCAGAACTCCCGGAGCGAGCGCATGCCACCGCCGCCAACCAGCTGTGCCTCTGGAATTTACTCTATATTGCGCCCCTTACTGCCGCTTTTTTTTTTTCCCTCTCTCTTACCTAGTCCCCCTTTTCCTGTGATAAACCAGTCCTGCAGAAACCCCAGCACAGCCCAGCCCAGCAACAGGCGCAGCGCAAAAACACAGTTACCGTACCCGACACGAGAAACCATGGCCTCGCGAATCCTCTCCCACGGCGCCCGCGCCCTGACCAGAACTGCCGCGCCGGCCCGCATGTTCAACACGTCTGCTGCGAGGCTGGACGCCGCCGTTGCTGCGGGCGTACCGCCGACGCCGCTTCCAGCGAGGAGGCCTATCGGTGCGCTGAGGGGGGGGTAGGTTTCCCTTTTTCAACTTCCATTCCCTTGCGTTCCTTCTTTTGCCCCGCGGTTCCAATGTTTCTGCTGTTTCTGACTGGCTATGTTGTGGCAGGCTCTTTGGCTTCTTCCTCGGCAGCTCGCTCGCCGCCGGCGGCGTGTATTACTACGCCATCCAGGAGTACAAGGCCTCGAATGAGCTGCTGACCGAGGACATTTACGTGCGTGTTTGCATCTGATATGCGCTGCACTTCTTCTTTTTTTGAAAAATTCATTTTTACACCTGCCTGCCTGCCTCCCTGCCTGCCTGACCAACCCTATCCGATCGACGCTGCGCTGCTCCGTTTCTATATACGTTACACTGGTTTCCTGGGGGTGGTGGGGAGAGATAAATAAAGAGAAGAGGACAAAGAGGGGGAATAGACAAAATAGAGGGGAGGGGGCGAGAGCGGGCTGAAGCGTAATTATTCTGGTTTATTTCTTGGGTTTGGGGGACTCTGCCTCCTTCTGGCTGGCGCGGGCATGCTCTGAGGAGGGCGCTGCTGTGCTGGCTGGCTGGGGTGGTCTACCTCTCCTGAGGCTTGCAGTCATATCCTTCAGGATATAAGAGCTGACTGGGTGTGACGGACAGGCGCTGCAGAACGCGGTCGAGCGGTTGAGCCAATATGTGACGACGCTGGAGGACAAGATGGAGGCGTTGGAGAGGAAGAAGAAATGAGTTATGACTGGGATGGGATGGATGGAGGCTATGGGAATATGGAATGGGCGTGGATAGGGGAGTCTAATTGGAGTTGGACATGTACATTGTTTCCTGGGGAGGGACTGGAAGGGGTGGTGGCAAGCATGATGTCTTGTTAGGGAGCTGTTTCCTTGAATTATACGGAGATACCATCCCTTGGCCAGTCATGTGTGAAGTCTCGATGCGGTAGTTTAATCTTCTCTGTATTACGCCGGCGGCTTCCACCACGGGCTTCTCACCATCTCTCGTGATGATGGTCTTGGGAAACTCGAAGCTCCGACGTCACCGGTTCGCTTGCCCAGGGTCCCCGGTCCCCGTCCCGGTTCGGCGTTGTGGGCCCGGCTCGGCCCCTGCTCAAAATCTCCCGAACGCGCTGCATCCCACTTCCCCTTCCACCCCACCCTTCCCAAGCCATCACCATGAACAACTTCGGAGTCATCGAGATCGCCAGCACGACGACAAAAAACACGCCGGGATGGGCCTACGTACCGGACACGGGGCCGCTGCCCGCCGCGCTGCAGCCCACCAACCGAAAACGCGCGGCGCGCAACCAACCCGCCCTCAGCCTGTCGGATCTCTCAGCACGCGAAGAGACGAGGATACGGAAGGATCTCGAGGCGCTCGACCGCGATAGCCACAGAGATGCGAACATCACGATTCCGCCCCGGCCGGGCGGCAGCAGAGGTATGCGCGCACACCTCAATTTGAGGGCTTCCGATTCCTAACCAACCTGCAGCCCAGAACAAGCACACCCCCAACGTGCGCAAGATCCTCCAGTCGCAAAAGACATTCGCCAACCACCTTGACGACTACCAAGCGTTGCTCGCACTAGCCGAGAGCAACCCCGCCGCAGCAGCAGCCATGAACGCCGCGCAGGCGAAGCCATCCACCCCGATAGCCGCCACCCCGAAGAGCGCCTCGCCAGCACCCACCGTAGCGCCCGCCGGCGGAGGAAGCAGACGGTCAGCAGCCGCCGCAAAACGGGCAGCAGCAAAGGAGAAACAGGAACAAGAAAAGAAAAAGGCGCGCCAAACACCCAAGCAAGAGCCAGACCCCGAAACCGAGGCCAATAACCCACAACAACAAGAAGACCAACCCGACGTCGAAATGCCCGACGCAACCGCACCTCCACAACCCACCCCAACCCCCAACGCAGAAGAACCCAACCCACAAGAAACCCAATCCTCCTACCCGCGCGAAAGCCTCATCCTCCCAGCCTACACCAAACCCCCGCCGCGCCCGCACCCAGGCGACGCCGACCCTCTCTTAGTCTCATACATCCCCCCATTCCCCTCGGACGACGAGCTTCGGGAGCTCATGACGGCGCCCCCGCTGAGCTACCTCGAGGCGCGCGCGGGCTGGGGCGACGAGCAGCGCCGGTACCCTGTGCGCGTCTTCTGCGCCGTGTGTGGGTACTGGGGGCGGGTCAAGTGCATGAAATGTGGGGTAAGGGTGTGCGCGCTCGAGTGCCTGGAGGCGCACCGCGAGGAGTGCGTGACGAGGTATGGGTTGTAGGCGGGGGTGGTGGTGGTTGAGGGGGGGTGGTGGGTGGTGGGTGGTTAAGGGGTGGGCTGTGGTTAAGGAGACGAGGGGGGTTGAAGAGCCGGAGGGGGCTTTGCTGCTGAGGCATACATACAGTTTGATACCCATTTATTGTTTTTGAGTCCAGAAGCAATGGTTATGCACCACTATCCGCTCCTTATCTCCTACGAGCCCAATCACTTTGGCACTAGGATGTAACACTCTGCTGTGCCTGAGAGGATTGATGTGACCAACGGAGGACTATGCCTCTTCTTCCTCATATTTTCTCTTGCCCCCAGAGGATCTACCCCTTGATCTGACAAAAGAACCCCCCGCCCACTGTGTGGATGTGGCAAAACAAGCCCAGCCCAACGCCCCTGATATCACCCAACCCAACCCAAACTCCAAACCACCGAAAAAGAAAAAAAAGAAAAAACCCAAAAAAGATCAAACACTCCCCAACCGAAACCGTACATCCCCCCTCGTCGCAGCCCCCACACAAACCCCCTCAAAACTCCCCTCGGGACACGCCTCGCGCGCCGCCGCCACGCACCCGGCCCACGCGTCCTTGGACACATTGATAGTCGCCCCTTTATCCTTCTCGATCGCCTCCAACGTGAACACGGCCTTCCCCGACCGGCCCTCCGTCTCGGCCGGGTTCCCCTCGCAGCGCGTGGCGGACGGGCCCGCGATGGACGTGCAGATTGCTAGGGAGGCGGCGTATTCGTCGTAGAGGAGGAATCGCCTTCATTCATCAAAAAATGTTAGTGTACTGGGGAATGACCAAAGAAAAAGAAGGGGGGGGGTGCGTACGTCGAGGTGTCGAGGCAGACGACGTTGCGGACTGCGTTGGGGTTGATGGGCTGCTGGCGGCGGAGGGAGAGGCCCTCATAGTAGGACTGCGGGACCATGACGCGGCGCTGGTGGTACTTTTCGTACCAGGGCTGTGGCGGCGCCGCGAGGGCGAGGGTTGCCAGGGTGAGGGAGAGGAGGAGGAGGGTGAGGCGGGGCATTTTGGGGTGTGGTTTGTAGTTTCTTTTCTTTGTCCTGGGTCTAGTCTTTTGGTCTAGAGTTTGGGGTTGAAGATGGTCTGTCTGGCGTAGAATGAATGGAGACGGATGGATAACGGTAACTTGGTTCAAGCTTGGTGGTTCGGCTTGGTCCAGAAAAGAGTGAATATGTACAGAGTCAAGAGATCGATCACAGACCGAGAGACGAAGAGAGTGGTGATGCCAGCATCGGAGCAGAGCAATGCCCTCGGGAGACGGGGTGGTGAGAGCTCTGTCGCAAACCGTCGAGGTGTCAAGCTTGAAACTGACGACTGACGAAGAGGAACGAAGCACCACCCCAACAAACGGCGGACACCCTCGTTTTCAGCACCATCCCAAGCTCACTCAACCTTCACCCCTCCTGCAGGGAGGCTCCCGTTTGTTTCCAAGGGCCCCTGCCAAGCCGGCGGGGATCAGCGTCCGTCAGTGCGCCGCCGGGGGATCCGATCGGCAGGAACTCGCAGGTCTGCAACAGCCAAACGACGAGCATCGCCTCGGTGCATGACGGAGCCGAGTTGCCCGATCAGAAGATCTTCCGCCGCTCTCCACTGGCGTGGATGGCGGGGGATGACGTTCCTTTCCTGGAGACGACTGCGATTCCAGGTTTCAAAGTCTTCGATAGGGGAACCTGGCCGGGTGCTGAAACACAAGCGAGGGCAGACTTGGTGGTGTTGATTGGCTGGGTTAGTAATAGGGTGATGGCCCTTGGCGGAATAACCAAGGGCTCGTCATCAGAAGAGAGAAAAACCATGCCATCCAATGGTCTTGGGTCAGTCAGCGGCGGCAGCACCAGATCATCACCTGTCGATGTTGGAGTCGGAGATGGTTGCTGAGTTGATCCCCCGTGGAGGCGGACGCGGACGCTCCGATGCCACCTTGCTGAGTACCTCCAAGGCCCAGAGCCACTTACTCTCGGATGGCCGTTGAGTGCGTGACATATTAACAGAAGCTGATCTGTTGATCCGAGTATCCTCGACACAAGACACCTTTCGCGACGCAGACACCTCGCCTCGAGATACCGTGTTGTCCAGTCAGCACCAAGATCCCAGCTCCAGTGCTCATCACACTCTGCTGATGGTCTCGCGGGCGGCCGTGTTATCTTCGGCTCATAATCCTCAAGGGAGATTCGAATACAGGCACCAATGCATGAAACGGGTCCATGATTTCCTCGATGCTAATTAGAGAAATGCTCAGCTCTGGCAAATGGTTTCGCTCGTAACAGAAGATAAGGTACCTTGGTTACTCGGCTTGATTCCGAGTGGAGGCAAATTGTTAGAGTCTCGAAGTCAGCGACAAACCAACAAATCCAGAAGATCAGCCGGAATAGCTCAGTGGTAGAGCGTATCACTCGTAAGACAGCAATGTCCTGGCGACATGATAAGGTCCACGGTTCAATCCCGTGTTTCGGCATCTTTTTGGCGCCTGCTCCTAACCCTCTTACCTTTTTCGGCCCTGCCTTTATAAAGTTTTCTTATCCGCGGATAGTCTATCTGGTGAGGGCATTGTAACAACTTCTCCTAAGGGGAGGGGTACAAAACTTTGTTAGAGAGTGAAAGGACAGACCCGGTGGATCCTCCAATGGCTCTACGCGGAAATTGTCTGTCTCCCGGGTCCAAAAGAGTACTGTACCTTGAATGCTGGGTCAACTCGGTGGGAAAGTTGCCCTTTGGCTGGGGGGTTCGCTGTCGTCGATGAAGTCAGCATCGCCGTATGCTGCTCGTCGTCTACCGTCGCTACTTCTTCCACAGGATCAACAGGCACGAGATCAACCTCAAGGACGGGGTTCTCGTAGCACAACATCTTGACGCCATTGTATTGATCGGGAGGGATCCTTTAGCCCGCGGCTTGGTGCTTGGGAAAAGGTGATACACACAGGGCTCTAACCTGTCATTTGTTGGTGCGGATGGCATCGAGTCTGGATAACATACGCTAGCAGAAGTGAGGGTTAAAGAGTTTCCCTCGCAATCCAGCTGCCGGGACGTGGAGCGTCAGGGTCGAGGGGCAACAGCTGGTTGTCTTCGCTCCCCACACACACCGCAGACGCCGCAGTCCCCCGAATTCCGGTAGTTCGTCCCCTTGCACGTCTTGCTCTGACATGCCCATACGTCCAGCATTCCTTCCGATTCAACTGTGTTGGCGCACATGGCGCAAGTGGTTGAACCCGGCTCGTTGATAAACGTACACGCTGGGCAGGTATTCAAACCCCCGGAGTTGGACTGGGGAGGCGATGTTTCTTTTGGTGTTGGGGTCTTCGGCTGTGTTGATTTCGCTTCGCCGAGCGTCCCTGGTTTTGCTGCTGCCGTCTTCCCTGGTGTCTTTGCTGCCGTCTTCGGACCAGGTTTACTTTGTTCAGGAGCCAAGCTTGTTGGTCTGGGGGCTGGCTTCCTCGATCCAAAACTCTGCAGCTCCTGCAGCTCGTCCTGCGCATCTTGGTCGTCGGGGTTCTCGTCCTCGCAGACCTTGACCATCCCTCGGCCCTTTGAGTCGAGTATCTTTTTGCCGTCGATGTCAACAGCATCCGGGCCGGCTGTCAAGTCGTCCTCGTAGTCGTCGCCGCTCTCGGTTTCGGATCCCTCGTCCACTTCCTCCTTTGGCTCCTTTTTCTGCTCGTCGAACCGAGCCAAGGCGGCCGCTGCCCTGAGTTCTCTGCCCCTCGCGCTCCCCGCCACGCGAGGTTTGGCCGCCACCGTCTTGCCCTCTAGTTTCTGCTTTGTCTGAGCATCCTCGCCCAGGGCGACGCCGTTTGCCCCAAACTTTTTGAGGATCCGCCGCTCCTTTTGTTCCTTGTAGGTGAGTGTCTTCTTGGCCTTCCGTTTCCTGCCCCGGGAGCGGTATGTTCCGCCGCAGAGATGCTCCGGGAGCAGTTCGCCTGGCTCAACCATGTTCTTCTCGAACTCGCCGGTGGATAGAAGTGCCCCCCTTCCCCAGAGGCCTTCCCCGGTGAAGCCGCGGGACCACAGCCCCTTCATCTGCTCGGCATACTGGTTCCTCACTGCCCAAAAAGCGCGGGAGTGGTTCATTTGTTTGCAGTGGGCCAGTCTAGAGTCAGGTCAGCCAAGTTCTGTACCATAAAAGTATGTGGCAACGAACTCGTGCATCATGACCATCTGCACGTAGTTGAACGGCAGCCAATGCCCAGAGCGGGCCTTGAGCACCAGCTGGACGACCTCGCCGGCGTTGAAGTTGCGGCCAACAAACTCGGGATTCGGCTCGTACTCCTCGAGCGACATGACCGACAGGTGATGCTCTCGCATGATGGGCACTGCAGCAGTCAGCGCCCAGGTCTCGACCATCGGGTAAGAACGGCTTGCACTCACAACACTGCGCGGCAATCCTCTCCAAGAAATCCTGGGCAATTTCCTCGCCCGGCCCTTTCAGCGGCTTGATGAAGATGATGCGGTCGTTGGGCTGCGACCGTTTCGCGTTGAGGCGCTGAATTCCGAGCGGCATGGTGCCGGTTTCAAGAAGGGTTGGGAGCTGATGTCCAAGTAATAGTCACTGAGTTGTGTCGCGAAAGTAGAGGGTGATGAGTACACTGTGACAGGGACAGGCGATGAGAAGAGAAACTCAGATGACGCGCGATGGACAAGGAAGTCGCGAAGAGGGACGCCTGATCACGTGATACCCTTAAGGCCGACAACAGGGTGGTGTGAGAATCAAATTAATAAGGAGGAAAAAGAGGGTAGAAAAGTTGAAGAAAAAAGGAACGGAAAAATGTGGTGAGGGAAAATGACATGGGTTAGAAAACACCAAAAGCTCACCGGCTAGCCCTCCGAAGGGAGGTTCCGAAGAGAGGTAGCCGGCTACGAAACCCCCCCTGGCGGTTGGGGGGCTTACTTCGGTCATCCGAGGGGGCCGACCCCCTCGGGAAAGGGCCGCAACACACCTGACTCGAAGCTTCGACCTCCCGATCCGGAGTTATCAGGTACGGGGTCGGCCAGCAGGTGTGCGGGCAGAGGACCACCGCCAGTGACCGCTAAGCCACTACCGCCGGGGCGGTGGTCCTCGTTGGATACCTGCAACGCGGACCTAATACATATAGCACGGGATAGCACTGGATAGCACTGCCCAGTCACAGGCAGCTTGGGCTGCTTCATCCGAACTTGATCTCAATCTAACCAGTGCTGGCTGATAGTGCGATAGTATTCCTTGTACACCTCTGCTCCCTCACCTACTGAAGCAAGGCACGCACGCATACATATTCTCACCTAGAATATCTACCTCCTCCTGCCACCACCACCGCCGCCACCGCCGCCAGGCCCCGCCTCGCCCCTATCCGCAAGCGACACAACCTCGCCAATGCCCGCGGCCTCCTGCTCCTCTTCGAGCAGCGTGATCTCCTCGCGGCAGTCCCACCACTTCTCCTCGCTCAGCTCAAACGCCTTGGCCTTGATCTCCTTGACCGTCAGCGACTCGGGCTGGACGCCCTTCCACCGCAGACTCGTCATGAGGATCTCCTGCCACTCGTTGGACGTGCGCTGGAAGAAGTCGCGGCGGGATTCAAAGGGCTGGTAAGACATAGTTAACGCGGCGGTTTATGGGGCAATGGGAACGGAGGAACTCACCCTCGGGTGCGGCAGCCCGTCATCAACTGTCGTGGCCACCGACTCGGACTCCTCGTCCTCCTCTGACGGGACGGTCGACGGCGCAGTGGATGCAGAATCAGCGACAGAGACGTCGTCAGCATCCTGCTTCTTCTTCCGCTTGCTCGGCGTAAACAGCTGCGCCCGGGCCTCCTCGTCTTCCATCTCAATGTCGCCCTCCTCATCCTCTTCGTCATCCTCATAGTCGTCCTCCTCATCCTCATCGTCCTCGTCCTCGTCTTCGGATACCTGCGCCCATCATTAGCAACAATGCCATGCCCACCCCAGCCCCCGCGGATACTACTCACAATCCAGTCCTCCACCGGCCGGTTAAACACCTCCTTGCACCCATCCAGCTTGCCCAGATCGACCGCGTACAGATCGTCAAACGTGAACTCGCGATCCCCCTTCTCAAACGTGCCGCCATAGATGTACAGCACGTCGTCCTGCACCGCAAGCAGCGCATTAAACCTCGGATGCGGCAACTCCATACTAACCGGCATCTCCCTCACCACCCTCTCCTCCTTTTCCTCTCCCCCGCGTCCCACATCACCCTCCACTCCCTCCTCACCCCCCTCATCATCATCCTCAATCCCGGCCCCAGCCCTCAACGCAGCAAGCTGCCTCAACAACTCCTCCTCATTCTCCTTCGCCCTCCCCTTTCTCCCCCCAACAGCCCTCCCTTCTCCCCCCGCACCCTTCCCCTTACCCCCCCCGCCCGCTGCTGCGCGACCCTTTTTCAACCCCAGCGGAAAAAACCGATTCCGCTCCACATTCCACGCAAACAGCCCGTTAAAAAACTCGCTGTCGATCCCCTCCTCGCTCTCCGCCACGTCGTGCACACCCCCGAATAAGATCCCCCGCCCCCGGTGGAATGCCATGGTCGCGCCCGCGCGCGTCGGGCTCGGCGCGTTGGCCGGCTTCTTGCGCCGCTCCCAGCGCACTGTTGGGGGGGTACCTGCCGGGGACTCGGGGGAAGGGGGGGTGATGCGCAGGTAGAAGCAGTCTGTGTGGAGGAGCGGTTTGAGCACGTTCCTCTGAGTCTGCCCCTGGGGGCCGCGCTGTTTGGTGGTGTTGACGGCGGTGGTGGTCTTGACGCGCGAGTAGCCGCCGTAGAGGACGGCGCCGCCGTCGTGCGGGAGGAGGGTGAAGGAGGAGCGGGCGTCGGGCTTGAGCTGTGCGGGGGGGAGGGTCGGGTTGTGCCAGACAAAGTTGGCCGTGTCGTACAGCCAGAGGTCCGACAGGTACTTTGTCTGGTTGGCCGTGTCCTGGAAGCCGCCGAAGAGGATGATGTAGTTTTTGAAATAGGTCATGCGGTGGCCCGACCGGGCCGGCGGCGTCTTGCCCTTGGGCTCGAGGCGGGTCCATTCGCGGGTGGAAGGGTCCAGCTTCCAGAAGTCGTTGTAGTGGTAGAAAGTGCCCTGCTTGGGCGAGCTGAACTCGCCGCCGAAGAGGTAGACGGCGTTGCTCTGGTTGCCGCCGCGGGCCCAGGCGTGGCCGCTGCGCGGGAGGGGGGCGTTGGGGGAGGTGACGCAGCGCCATTCGTCGCGGTCGATGTAGTAGACCATGAGGTCGTTGAAGAAGGTCGCCAGCGAGCCGTTGAAGTACTCGCCGCCAAAGAGCAGCAGCTGGTTGCTGTTGGATGGGTTGGCCATGAAGGTCGCCGCCGACCGGGCGCGTGGGGGGTCCTCGACCACCGTCTCGGTGATTTTGAGGAACTTCTCCTGCTCCTTTCGGTATTCTTCCAGGACGGCATCCATGTCGACGTCCTCGGCATCGCTGCCGTCCATCTTGGACGCCTTCACTTTTGCCTTTTTCTCGGCCTTT